ATCATGAAATTTTATGATCCGGTTTCCGGAAAGGTATAACTTATGCTTTATAGCTTAATAAAAGCAACTTTAGATAGCTTTTGATAATACAAACGCGGCAAAAATTGACACTGAATATTTACGTTCTGAAATCGGAGTGGTATCGCAGGAACCTGTACTCTTCGATGCAACGATACGAGAGGTACAGTAATGGATCTAGCCCTTATACAAAGTTTTTGAGAATCTACTGTACTCAAAGCCAGGCGCATCTGAGGCTGAACTGCTTGAAGTCCTCGACCAGGCAAATGCGCTGAATTTCGCCAAAGAACTGCCGGATGGGATTGATACGAGGGTCGGGGCACGCGGAGCTCAACTTTCTGGGGGACAGAAGCAGAGGATAGCCATCGCTAGGATGTTACTACGGTAAGTAGCACATGAATTCTATAAAGCAAAATCGCCATGAATTTCCAGTAGAAATACTTTCCAGATATCCTAAAATCCTGCTCCTCGATGAAGCGACCAGCGCGTTGGATACGAAAAATGAGCGCGCGATTCAGGAAGCGCTCGATAAGGTAATAGCTATAAATATTGATCTTTTGACGGCTTGTAATGCATCTTAATCATCTATGATTTACATAATCTTACCATTTTTATATCTTTTTCATCCTCCACAGCTAGTAAATTCAAATTCCAGGCCTGCTTCGGGCGTACAACCCTCATCATCGCCCATCGCCTGTCGACCATCAAAAATGCCGATAAAATTGTGGTGATCAAGGATGGAAAAGGTATCTAAATTTCGATCTCAATAGCAAATCTTGGTTTATTTAGTGGTAGAAACAGGAAGCCACCAAAATTTGATCCAAGCCAAGGGCGCTTACTTTGAACTGGTGAATTCTCAGGTTTTCGAGGATCCGGAAAAGAAGGAAGGTATCAAAAAAATTCAACCCTCTAAAGAAAAACTGACGAAATTTAGAATCTGGAAATGATAAAAATGACAACAAGGATTTCCAGCGCCTACTATCGGTGCAAAAAAGAAAAATCACCAAAACCGAAGCGGAAAAGAGAACTTCTACAGAAGGCTGGATCCCTCAAGAAATACTACGAAATGCTTGGAACGGATAAGAAATACTTTTTCTTTGCTATATTCATGGCAGTTACTGAGGCCAGTTTTCCATTACGCCGAAAATAGATAAATTTCGTTTTTAGGGCATCGTTCCACCACTTTATGGAATTATTTTGATGCAAAGAGCTGTGGTGGGTCCCAAGTTTTAAGACAGAATTCAAATAAAATTTCAAATTTCGATTAAAATAGAAATTCGTTTCTTAGGCCTTCGCCACCAACGACAAAGAAGAATTGCTACGAAATGGACATGCTGCTGCGTGGAATTGGGTGTACCTTGGAGTTTTCGAGTTCTTCCGGGTTGTGCCGAGAGTACGCTAATGTCCATAGGGAAGGAATAAAGATAGCCTTTTAGTTTGTCTCCATCGTACTCTCGTCTTGCCGGCTGGCACAGAAAATTCGAGTCCAAATCTTCAAAAATGTGCTCCATCAGAATGGCGATTTTCACGATGCCGCTGAAAATACGAGCGGGAAGATTGTTTCGTATTTGTCGTCTGATGTAGCGGCTATTAAGGATGTAGGTGAATATAGGCTGGGGGCAAGCCAGCAGAGATCATTGGAGGGAAGGTGTCGGAATCAAAGGGTTTATGGATTGATCTGAAAATTCAGTTTCGAAAGGAGGAAAAATCCCGAAGGCTGGCTGAAAAGCCGACAATTAAGATTTTATACTGAAAATGCCGACAGCCAACATGCCGACAGATGCAAATGCTTAAAAAAAAGCGAAGCCCCTCTTCGGAAAGCCATTTTTCATGTGATTTTAGCTGTTTGCTGTCGGTATTTTGGTTGTCGATGTTTTCAACGTACATCTTAAGATCCCATTAATGCATCTTCAGCTCTTTGGCGAATACCTTGGCACCCTCACGAAAGCAGTCAGCTCGTTCAGCATCGGCTTTGCGATAGCTTTCTATTTGGAGTGGAGATCGGCTTCGATTAGTGAGTTTTTAAGCTTGGATATTTTTTAGATAATTAAATAAGTTTGCATTGATTTAATTCAGTAAGTGATCTGAATTAATACTATTTTTACAGTGCTCTTCGTCGTCCCATTCGGCCTTTTCCATAGTGTCATCATCGAGAAACTCATGGAGACCTTTTACCGCGAGGAGGCCAAGTCGAACACGAATAGTAGTGATGTAAATTTTTAATTTTTAATACTACAAAAAAATATTTAGTTACTCTCGGAATCGATCGAAAATATTCGAACCGTACAAGCATTGACGTTACAAACTCCGTTGCTCCAAAAATATTCGGATTGTCTGGAGATCCGACGCATTAATGGGAAGAAGAAGGGGAAATATTTGGTAAGCCGTCGATTTCAAAAAATCCACAGCCACGCTTGTCGACTCCTTTAAAATATCTTCAAATTTTCACATGTCAGGCTCTCGGCAGTGGTGTCGCCTGCTCCCTGCAAGTCACCATGAATTTTTTCAAGCAATTTTTCGCAGCTGTTTTTACATCAAAATACGAAAGCTTTGAGCCGATGCAAGCCCTAAGGTATCGTTTGGACCTTAAAAACGTTGCATTGTAGCTTTTAGAGTCCAATCCTCCCTCACAAATTGTGTAAACAGCGGCAATGAGTCGATAAAATTTTTGAGCATTTGGACAAAGGCCAAAATTTCGGCTGAGATCTTGGATCGATTTATGGATATTGAGAATACCGAAAATTTGCTGGTCGAAACCCAAAAAGTATGTTTAAAGTTAATTGAAATTGAATTAAGTTTAATTAGGTTAAGAATTTAATTAAAAAAAATTTAGAACGATTATTCCGAAATTTCCTTTGATAACGTCTCATTTGCATATCCAGAACATCCAGATGACCTAGTCCTCAAAGGTATCATCGATTGCACGATTTCCCTAGTTTACTTTTCTTAGATTTTAACGCCGTCATCAAATCCGGCCAAAAAATAGGGCTCGTCGGCCAGTCGGGTAGCGGTAAAAGTACAATTGTAGCGCTTTTACAACGAATTTACGAGCTGAAAACCGGCAAAATTGTGAGTTCGAGAATTACCTGTCGTAATTGGTGTTTAGAAAATCGGTGGCAAGGAAATTTCCGGAATTTGCTGGCGACAATTGCGCTCGGAAATTGCGGTGGTTTCACAGGAGCCGACGTTGTTTGACGATACAATATGGGTAAGCGACGGATACGCAAATCACCAAGTAGCTTACGTAGAGTATAGATTAGCCTAGCGTAGCTTACGTAGAGTAAACAGTAGCGTAGCGTAGCTTAGAGCCTTGCACTTATGGGCACGCAATCGATACGCAAATCGCTAAGTAGAGTAACCGACGTACACAGTAGTCTAGGGTAGCTTTCAATTTTGCGCTGCAAATTGGTGCGCGAACGATACGCGATACTTCAACGTTGCGTAACGCAATTCTTAGTGTGGTGAAGCTTACGTTGTCCCTCGTAGTCCTACGCGATAATTAGATCGCGTAACGCAATCGGCAGCGTAGCGTAGCCTATGGTCTGCGTCCCGAATTTGTGCCCGTCGTCACGAAGCTACGCTCTTAAATACACAATCAGGCGTAACGTGCCCTTTTTCCAGAACAACATTTGCTATGGTTTGGAGCCCGAGCTTGTCCAAGAAGCCGATCTTCACGAAGCCGCACAAATCGCTGGGGTTCATAATTTTATACATAAACTACCCGACGGCTACCAAACTCGTGTCGGGTCGCTGGGATCTCAATTATCTGGAGGTAAAGGTTTTTTAGCTGTTTTTAGTGCAGTTTAGGTCAAAAACAACGGATTGCTATTGCCAGGGCTCTGATTCGAAAACCAAAAATCTTGATTTTCGATGAAGCCACTAGGCGTTAGATTCCGGAAACGGAGAAGGTACTTTAAAAGAATATATTTGATGGAATTTTGATAACCGGATTCCTTTTAGTCAGTCCAAAAAGCCATCGATTTGGCGGCGTTCGGCACGACGTGTATTACGATAGCCCATCGATTGTCTACGATCCGGAATTGCGATCAAATTTACGTGTTAGAAAAGGGACGATTGGTCGAACAAGGTAAGTGTAGTTTATTAGCATTTAATAACAATGTTATGGCTGAATTTTAATGCAAATTTAGGTAATCACGATACCTTGATGCGGCTACAGGGTTATTACGCTAGAATGGCCCAACCAAGCAATCGATAAATATACTTATTTTCCATTATAGCTATTTGGTCGATTATTTTAATAAAGTATTATAAATTATTTCGGTTTATTATAAAAAGTATTATAAATTAATCTATTTAATAAGTATTATAAATTAATCTCAAATAGCGCAACCAAACAGCTCTACTTCAGATAATTACTACTTTTTATTTTTTCGTGAACTTACAAGCTTCACATATTGCTGCGCCTTACAACTATGAGTTTGCTCGAGGACCACCGACAATTTTTTATGAAACCGATATCTTGGAGAAATTCACGAAGTTCTGGTACCGCGAAACGCCCTGGAACATACGAAGATTTGAGGTTCTATTAGTTAAAACAAAAGAAACAAAAGAAAGAAAAGGGCGCACCGGACTTTAACGCAAACTTCATCTGGTGGTACAAAAAAGGACGTAGGAAGCAATTTCGCCTTACAAAATTTAAAAAGCGGAAATAGTGCAACAGAGAGAGAGAGAGAGAGAGAGAGAGAGAGAGAGAAAGAGAGAGAGAAACGTAGTATGTCATGCGTAACCCGGTATTTCGAGAAGAAGCCTGAAAAGCTGACTCACAATTTAAAAATGACAGTCCCCGGACCGGCCCACAAAAGCCGATTGAAGAAGAGTTCCAGTGAAAGACGATTTGGGGAAAAGTAAGTCGAAAAAAATTTTAAGCTACTAAGTGACTAATCTTCATCGGAAATATGGATCTTTTTAGAGCCTATCGGAAACTTTGTTTCCTGCAAAACTTGTGCATTTTTGTCGTGTTTACCTAAGAAATTATCACCCCCCCCTACTCGTCATTTATCGGCTTAATTTTTGTGGGCCAAATTTTTGGCCGGAAGTGCAGTTGATTGCCCGGTCAGGTGCCATCAATCGATGCGCTGGATTTTTGAAAATATTCTCTATGGATTGCCGCTATTAAGTATTGCCTTGGGCGTCAAAGTCGTACTACTGGAGCAGCAAAACCCGTCCTATGTTTTTCATGGCACCTCGCTGGCGACTGAAAAGGTACCACCAAGCAGAAGGAAGAAGATTATTTAGTTTTTAGAATATTACCATGTATACAAGCTCTGGAACTACATTTATATTGGATTACGGTACTCGATACTGTAGAAATGAGAATGTGAGTTGTTTTTGTGAATTTTAGGAAGATAAACGGTAAAAAATGTTACATTCGTAATCGGTTTTGTTTCATTTGGTGATGAGGTATGTATTAAGAATACTTAAATGAAATATAAATTGTTCAAAGTGTAAAAAGACCGTTTAATTTTACAGAAAAATTGCCAAGTTTTAGGGTCCAAACCAAGTCGCTCCACCGCCAGAAAACCGCGTAACCTGCTATGATAAACTACCATTCCTCATAAATGGCAAATATCCGGATTACCGCTTTTGTAAAGGAATTTAGTACGTTTTTATTAAGAGCCATACCTTTAGCTTTAGCGCAATCGATTTTTCACTCCAAAGTTTCGTCTTTGCTTGCCGATTGGAGATTAACGCCGAAAGTCTCAAAATTACCTATCAAAGCCCGGTGGTTGATGCTTCTTTTGCAGTTTCAGTGAAGGTGAAAGAATGGGTGGATGGTATAATGATCTATCAACCAAATAATTCGCATTGTAGAAAGGTACCAAACCTACTTAATGCCAGAACTCGTGACATTTCGAGCAGGAGTACTTTTCACGTTATACGTTAAACGAGGTGATATGTGGATTTTGGTCCCGGTTGGGTATAGGTAGGTAGCAAAAAGGTAGTTTAATTCTGCTAAGTTTAACTGCATCAAGGTATAAGAGCATTAATGATATTGAGGGGCTTTAGTGGTGTCGACGACGCTGCCCAACCTGGTGTATTGGTCAGCGTTCAAACACTAGGAAGCCCGGAAACCCTGTTGTCGTTGTATTCTGGAGGAGATCCGGGTTTGACTCCAAGTGACGACAATTTTCTGATTAACATAACGTAAGTTCAAAAGTAACGAGTGATTAACCGTTAGAAAGTGCCGTTTTCAGGGCCATTACTCCTGAAACGATACCCTAAAATCAGCAAAAAAATACTTTTCCTAGAGGAAACATGGAAATCCAAGCCCTCTCTGCCGCCACGACCATCCTGGTATATTCTCCAGCAGCCGTGGGACCCCTAGGAATTATGTTTAATCGAGGGCATGGTGATCACATCTTTTTATACCCTTAAAAATGAGACCCTAGGTCTCACCTACAAATTCGCCAGCCCGGGCTGGCCTCAATACCTGCTGAACAGTCCGGAAATTCCGGAATTATGGATTGAGCAGCAGCATTGCTTTCAGCAAGTCCTCTGGAGTAATTATTATTGAATTTTTGGATCGTCTAATTTTTAGATCAGCCCGGCAGCGATTCGCATTACATTTTCAATTTCCCAAAACTTAGATCCGGAAATTTGACAATGCACGTGATTGGGAAAAACGAGGGAAGGTATTAGATAGGCATCGATTTCAGGTACTTTACTTTTCAGTTATACTTTTGCTGCACAAGACGAAGGACAAAACTCCACACTGTTGGCTCAAGACCTACAGGTACATTCAACAGCTGCTTTAGCGATCATAATTTTCAGCGATTAAAATGGATTAATGGTATATTTCAGCTAACCTTCTGCCCCGCTTCTACAAACTCCAAATTTGTCCTTCTGATCGGCGAGGACAACGTTTTTCCGACACCTTCCGTTGAGTGTGAGATGTATTTTGAGCTGAACCATACGATGTCGTTCCTTGCCATTCCTATCGACGCGCTACACGGCTCTAAAAGTATATCTTTGAGTATTTCAAGTATCGCTTTAAAATCCAGTCAATCAACTCTGCTTTCAATCAAAGCTCACATCGAAATCGACCGAGATTGAGATGTGCGCCTACAATAGCTTTGCGCAATTTCCATTTCGCTTAGATGGAAAGCGGTTGGAACGGACGGCTTGCACAAAAATGTATGGATTTTTACCGAATTTATGGCATTGTCTGTGTTTTGATTGTCCAATTGGACAAAAGGAATAGGTAGAATCTATTTAGAATTTTTGTCGGCTCGCTGCACCTTTATTGCTGTAGTATCACCGCTTCTTATATCCCTGGTCTTGTGCATACAATTTATTTCGACGACCATGATCTGGAAGATTTGGCGGGGAACGTGTTATTGATAGGGTTATCTGATTACGGTAGGTTATCGCGTGGCTCTGCTGCATCAATTTATGAATGTCATAACTTATCATACACTCTAGCGTACCTTGCCATTTCAGAAACCATCGTTTTCAACGAGGTATACCAGCCCTCGTACATTACCTTACCCGAAGTACTCGATCGCGACATACTTGTCGTTGTCGTCTCCTCGTATTGGCTTTATAGCGCTACGACACACGCCGAGTTTTCAGAATTACGATGGGTACGGACTCAGATTAGCTCCTAATCTCCTGATATTTTAGGCCCGGCCAACAAAACCGTGCCAATATCAACTTTTCTCCACAGAAGGTTTTACTAAAAACGAATCCGCGCTACTGGTATTTGAGTAAGTGATCTAGCAACAATTTTATCGTAAGTCATTTTTAGTGACAACGATCCCTTCCAAAATCAGCCTCTCACCTCGGAGCTCTACTTTATCTTGGTGCCTCGTGGGTGTCAGCCAACGATTGCGGTTGCTCCAAAAACTTCTCGTGGGTTCCGGCTGAAGCTATTCATCAGTCTCACTTCGATCATTATAGCTTTTCCTACTTATACTAGTATTTTAGAGAGCTTCGCCATCTACCACCAATGCGAAGGATCCGTCTTTGCGACCGCTCCGGGCTACAAAACACGTTTTCATAGTGCTATCCCGGCCTACGATTATAACACGACTTGGTTATGCGGTATTTCATCTCCAATATCGTCTGGAAGCTTCAGACGCCTTTCAAATTGACATCACGATCGAGTTGCTGGACTTAGTTAATGGAGATTTGACGTTAGCAATACGAAATCTTACAGATGAAACCGTTCCTGGTGGAATGTAAGGTGCAAATTTACACGCAATCACCTAAATTGAGGCTCAATTATGATCCGGCCTCTTCCCAACCTCAAAATCTGACGTTTCAAAATGTCAGAAGTGTCCAGGTATCGAAAAAATTATCCATAACGTTATATGGCAAATTCTAGATACTTTGGCATCCACCAGGCGATATTCAACCAATGGCTTCCACTGGCTTTTTCCTCAGGATACATTTTAAAAAGCGTTGGAAAATTGTCGCCACCACCCCAAGGTCATCCCTTTCATCAAATGTCGTTGCTATTTTCTGCTACATCATGATTTTGCTACTGTTGTAATCCTGTTATTTATCACATTCAATGTTCTCAGAGATTTGCTTTCAGCATAATTATGTTTCCAATAAAACTTTCTTAAATATTCCGCAAGAATCTATTTAGAAAAAGCAACGTACAAACACGAGTCTAGTCCGGCTTTTGATGTCTAAGTGTTGCAAAGAACCATGTGGTCACCGTGCTCTGGTTTCCATACAAGCGGCTTTGCTTATCGCGAGCCGATACTTCGAACTTATCCGCCCTACCACGACGTCTTTCGCTTCTTTTTGTCGAGTTCCAGGGCCTCAAACATCAATAAACTAAACAAAAGGGCAAGGCACTCGCGATCGGAATACAAAAATCATTTGATTTTTCGACCCGAGTTCTAAAACGTAAAATGATGAGCCAAAACATCGTCTATTTTCTATGCTGGCTGGTAAATTTGAAAATTGCTTTTGCGGAAAAACTTCTGCAACTTGATGAAGATAACCCGAGCGCGGTTTTTCACGGCACGACATTGGCCTATGAAAAGGTACCAAAAAAATGTAAGTAGGTTATAATGGTCCTAGAACATCACCATTTCCGCCCAACTCGATGGTGCCATTTTTGTAATAGATTACGGGAACAGATACTGTCAGGATGAGAGTGTAACGTGTAGTGTAAGGCGTAATTTATAAATGCATCCTAGGGTTCCGATTTAACCACCGAAGGTCAGGAGACTCGCATCACTTGCTACGACGCGCTACCATTTACGATTAACGGTCAAATCCCGGATCAAAGGTTTTGCACCGGATTCTAGTACGAGCTCTTCCAAACATCGAAACATCGTTTGTTCCAGCTCTGTACAATACATGAAGCAAAGTTCCGTGTTCGCCTGCCGGTTCCGGACTATCAGCCAAAGATTGCAGCTTACTTACAAGAACCCAATTGTCGATGATTCGTTTGCAATCTCGGTGAATGTTCAGCAATGGGTGGATGGTAAAAATTTGGGTGGTTCGAGAAATTGGGTCCTAGGAGACCTGAATACCTTTATCCTACCTGAGACGGTGGGTCGACCTAGCGGGCAACACCTTTTTTGGCTAACTCGGAATCATCTGTGGATAATTGTGCCGATTGGCTATCGGTGGGTAAAAGATCCAAAAAAGCCGAAAAACGGTGATTAAAGCGCACGTTCAGGGAGGGGCCGTGTACTCGTCCCAACGTGTACACCCTATGGACGTAGAGACCGCGCACACTGCCTGCCCGTGCCGTGGGAGTGCAATTTCCATCCTTTGCGGCGTGGGGCGCCCCTCATTCCCTCGCCAGGTTGTAGCTTTGGCTGACTGGTATCCATCCGCGCCTCCCGAGCGGGGGCCTGGGTTCGACCCCCGGCCGCTTCGAGAAAGCGGATCAAAATTGCTAGGTCTGAGTCACGTGCTGGCTTTTCTCATAAAGCCTCTAGACGGTTCCCAAAACGTATCTAAACTCCGAACCTGAATTTTCAGCGAAATCAACGACACCTCGTTCCCTAATGTCTTTATTGCCATCGACGTGTCCTCTAGCCCAAACACCCTAATGTCCGCGCACGCTGGTGGGGATCCCGGCCTGAAGCCAAATCCTGATAATTTCATAGTGAACGCCACGTGAGTTTCAACTCTACAAACACCTCATTACTTTAAGAAAGGCATAAACAATCTTTTGTAAGTTTAGCGGGACACTAGACATCCAATCTCTAATCCCGGCAACCACTATCATTGGATTTTCGCCTATCGACCTTTCGGTTGCAGTCTCATTCAACACACCGCAGGGTAGGAGATTCTCCGAATCATGAATTTTCTCCGATATCCCTAGATTACCGTTACCTGGTGTCTATACCACACTGGCCCCAAATGGCGCTCAACAGCCCTGAGATTCCGGAAGTATGGGCCGAGCAGCAGCGCTGCTTTCACCTCGGCCCTTGGAGTAGCTTTCTCCAAGTGATCGGGTAGAGATCAATATCTTCCAGACCCGAATGGACGCTCGGAGGCCGCATACTTCTTCAACATCGCAAAACTTAACGCTGGAAATTTGACGATCGGGCTCGTTGATTATGATTGGTCTCCTTTGAGGAGGTGCATCGCCCTACGATTGTACCATTTTTAGTTATAACTACACACCCGCGGATAATGGTCATAACGTGACGTTTGTAGCGAGATATCTGGAGGTATGCTTGGAGGATAAAGTCTTTAGCCCCTTAGGGCGGCTCCCATACCTTAAAATGTCATCCGTATGTTTCAGCTAGTTTTCTGCCCAACAGCCGCAAACTCACAATTCGTGCTTTGGCTAGGAGTCGAGGCGACGACCCCAGCCGTGGAGTGTCAACTTTTTGTTGAGCTGAACGATACCGTAGCATTTTTAGTGATCCCAGTAGACACCCTCGAAGACCGAAAGAGTTCGTGGTTTTTTAGCGCTAAAACCCCGGCCAACGTTTAGTAAACAAGGTCTGCTTTCGGTCAAAGCTTGAAGGAAAGCCGACACAAATTGAAATTTGTGATTACATTTCTTACGCCCAGTTTCCGTTTCAATTGGACGGGTTGCGGCCGGAGCTGACGGCATGTAGGCAAATGCAAGTGCTTTCGAGCTTTTTAATAAAAAAAAAATATAGGAACTATTCAGCGACGGTAGTTCGCTATTGCTGCGTTGCGACTGCCGCTTACGTACCGAACTTTATCCACTCGATTTTTCTCGATGACGATAGCTTCGGAGCGATGCGTCGCAAGGCGCTGATGGTCGGCATGTCAGATTATGGTGGGTGGTAGTGGGACCAGGAAGTACTGGCGAGGATTTCTATCGTTTCCGGCTGAAGGGTACCGCGACACTTGCTCCGCGGACACTTGCGCCGCGACACTTGCGCCGCGACACCTTTATTGTTTTATTGTCTCTCTATTTTAAGCTACTTGAAGTTGCAATCTTTCGCGCTTGTTCCGAATTTGGTGAAAGAAACGATAGAAGGGTGGTTTGCTATAGGTGTCACCCTATTTGGAGGGAAGGTGATCGCTACTTCTCCCGCTCTGCGACTAGAAAAATGCTTCGCGCCACCCGGGGCCTAGTCGCTTCCGATGGGCTGCCGCTCCACTCTTACAAAACCAGCCGCTTACAAGCGGCTGGACTTCGGGCTACCCCATTCGCTTTCTCCCCCTCGGCGAAACGCGCGCCACCTGGCTCACTATGTCCGAAATCGCGCAAACCTCCGTCCCCCACCCCTTTCACTAAGGAAAAACTTTCAAGTTGAATTTTAATAATTTAATCGAAAACTTTTTCATAATTCTTTCATCAGTTTGGGGGTTTCTGATCACGCTCTATCCGAACCCGAAAAGCCCTAAGCTCTAGCTCCTTTCCGCTACGCGCGCCTCGGGCGCCGCGATTTCGAAACCCTGTACGAGCTCGCACTCATCCGAAGCTACGGCCCACCTTCCCTGACGCCTTTAGGAACGCTCTGCATGGCGTTACCCACACTTTTTGTGGGCTCGGCCCCGGGTCCGGCCCTTGTGATGATTTACTGCAACCTCAAGCTCGAAAACGCCTTTCAGAGACGCTGATCATCCACCAGAGCTATTGGCCAGTTGTGACGATGCCGGAAATTGACAGCGACGTCCTGGTGGTGCTCATTTCGTCTAACTCCATCTACACCACGGCTGCAAATCGGATGTTGACGGATTTGCAATGGGTGCCTAGAGTACATATACTCCTCAATAGCAACGTTTCAGTCTCGATCTAGCGCATCCTGTCAGTACAAGCTATTCTCCATAGAGGGTTTCACGAACAATGAACCACCGCTTTTGATCTTCGAGTATGCATGGATACCTAAAGAAACGACGTGAACTTATAGCGACAAGGACCCATACCATAATCAACTACTGACGTCAGAACTGTACTTTGTTCACATTCCGAAAGGTTGTCAACCAACAATTGCTGTAACGCAGGAAAATGCGGGCACGTTCTGTTTCTTTTTACTCAAGAGTTTATAAATACCATCAATTATCTATTGACTATCAACGAACGAATTTTAAGAAGGCTACGCCATTTACCAACAATGCGACGGGTCCTCCTTCGCGACATCGGCCGGTTATCAGACTCCCTTTCATGGTTTTATCATGGATCAGCCTTTCAACACCACCTGGCTTTGCGGTAAATACCGCTAACCGCCCACTTTAAAATCTCAGGCGGATTTCAAATCGATATCAAAATCGAGCTAGTGGACCTAGTAACCGGAACGTTAACTCTACAAATCCAAAATGAGACTGGCAATGCGGTTTTGGGCGGAACGTAAGGTTGACTTAAAACGAAAAAGACCTCCGTTTTAGGGAAACCTTTCACGCCGGATCGTTTAACCGGCAGAATTTAACGTTTATCAATGTGCAAGGCATTCAGGTTTTAGACGCCGGCTCGCTTTTTGAGAATCTTTCAGATTCTCTTGGGCTAGCCTGGAATGTCAGCCAATGGACGCCGACCGGGTTCTTCGCTAGGATTCACTTTCAAAAGCTACCTGGTACACCTGTTAATGGATCTGTGACAGTGGCTACCACTACTTTGAAATCATCAGGGCATCTCCTCAATCCGATGTCTATAACTTTTTTATTGGTAGCATCATTATTAGCTATTGATAAAGCGGCAGTAAATTGTCAACGATGATTATGCGTTTCTTTTCAACTTTACGCATAATCGACTCGTGAATAAAGTCAATATTCATAGTTAATGCTATCGACAAGAAACAACACACCCTAGCAAAGCACTGGATCGGACTTTTGGGTCTGCTCCTCCTACGCAGAGTTACAATTTACTCTGCTCTCCGCGCTCTCGCCGCATCGAAGAGACCACGGCATTAACAGCGCATAATCCCCGACCTTACTAATTTCGCCGATGGCTTATTATTACTTTTTATAAATTAGAACTTATTTTTTTAGAGAAAATGGACTTTACGTCCAAATCATCGACCAAAGACACGGCGGGCGGGAGCTCGGAGACCGCCTCCACCGGCTATTTTGCTGGTATAAACAACTTTATAATGTTAAAACGGTTCTTAAGAAACTGAAATGAATGCCGAGCAGGAAAATTTTCTATACGAGTTGGAGACTACGGATTCGGGGAGCCTGGGGATTGTTTTGAGGTATAAAAACACGAGGACCCGACGAATCTGACATTTAGAGCTATTTATGATTGCGGGGATGTTAAGAAGTTTTCTCGAGCCCTCGATCATCGCATCCATATCTATGATCGGAGTATACAAAATGTAACATTAAAAATCAGCGCTTTGAAATTCACGGTTTAGGTGTGTTCTCATCACTACCAAAACTTTGTGACTGCTATGCGAAAAAATGATGACACTGCAGGAGAAGAGTGCAGAAATTAAAGTAAGTTTAGTAAAATTAGCAAAATAATACCTACCAAAACACAGAATGATTTTGCGCAAATTGACTGCAAAATCCAAGAGGCCAGTAAGGATTTGGCAGAGAAAAGTGCGACTGTCGTGAAATATCGGAAGTTGACAAAGGTGGGAGTAAAATTATTGAACTATCCAGTAATTTTGCTTGCAGAATGCTTCCACTGCTATTGATCAAATTTCCCTCTGCCTCCCAGCTTTAGAAAATTACGCCAAATTGCAGGGGCTGATGGAGCAGAAAAAGTTAGTTTTTAAGAAGAGACTTAGGCATTTTGTAGATATTACCAAGCCTTGAAAGTGCTCGAGGAATTGGAGCACACCCACCTGGCACTAGTGGAAAAGTATCGATTCACACAACTTTTCGCCAAAAGCCTGGCCCCGATCCGGGAGCAGATCAAGCAGAAGGCGTACAGCGAATTCAAAGACTTTCTCGAAAATATTAAGAAGGTGGCGAAGAGGATCGGAAGGCATGCTAGTCAATGTGTAAGTGAAGAACGACAGGTAGACGTATAGACTGAATTCAGACCTCGGAGCAACACTCCTTTGGAACGACAGATGCCGAACGTACCAAGCTTTTGCAAGAGGATACCAAGAAGAAATCGGCAGATTATCAGGTGAGCAGTTAGGAATTACGGGCTTCCTAGGTCCAAAGATAGCTCCGGGTCCAATCCGCAAAACAAGTGCTCCGGGCGGGGGTCGAACCCGCATCCTACGGCTTTCGAGTCCGATGCTCTACCTATTGAGCTACCGGGGCACGCGGAATGCCTCTCTCAGGGCAGCTATCCATGCCATCCCAACCGAGCAACTACAACGGCTTTAGATTTGGGTAGATGATACGAGATATCCATTTTTTCAGGTTATCGTATCTGCAGATGGTAGCTTGGTCAAAAAGGAAGGTAGAAAAATCTGGAAAAGCGACGAAATCTGAACAAGCAGAGGTAAACCAAGAATCGCGGCTCCTTGATTCTGAAAACTTTTTAGGAAGACGAAAAGCTCTCCGCTCAAGATTTGATCGATTTTACTCCGGTGCATCGCTGTTGTCAGATTTTTAACGTCCTGGGAGCGAAAGAGGAGTTCGAAAAGTTAGTTTATCACTAAAAAAAATTTTAGTTCTCAAGAGTTTTCAAATTTATAGCGATATTTAGGTACTACCGCGAGCAAAGAACCGAACAATGCAAACTCGTCAGTCAGCAGGCTACCAAGGTATGTAGCGGGCTCTTAAAAACAAGAACTTTTAGAAAACAACCCTGCGCCATTACGTCGATTACCTAGACGAAATTATCGGCTTTTTCGTTGTGGAAGACCGAATTCTGGATACGGAGCCTTCTCTAGGAACCTCTGCTCATAAAGAAGCTCTTTGGGAGGATTCACTGAAGAAAGTAATCGCCACGATGAACACAGATTTCGTAAGTATTCGGAAAATAATACGTTCATTACTACTCTTTCAGGGAATGTCGCTCGATGTCGAGATGATGTTGCGCATGAAGAAGGTTATTCTGCTCTTTGCCCTGACTATGAAGTCTTATGGCTACACCATTGGGCCGCTATACAGCTTGCTGCAGAATTTCCGGTATCGCAGCATCACAAATTTTCGATTAGTTTTTAATTTAGCGATCAGTACAGTGCCGTACTTCTTAAGACTTATCAGGACCAATTCAATCGCGATTTGGACATGGACAACTACAGGTTACGAAGTGTAGTATTTGGAAGTATCGCTTTTTAGCCCTATCTTGGTGAACGATAAAGACGAGTTTAAGCAAATCATCCGGCAATTTCCGTTTTATCGAAAGAGCATGGAACAGGTTAACCTGAAAACAAAAATTTTAAAGCAAATTTAGGAGCCCTTCCCAAGAAAATTCCCATTTTCTCGATTTGTAATTTCGACATATGGCCATGTGAGTCGTTGTCGAAACCGAAAAAACCTATATCTTAGGCTAAATCATATCTCAATGCCATTTTCAAATTCATGGAGCACCTCCAGCTGAAGCACTCGGAGATTGACGACACGATGAGACGGTAGGTCGTAAGCCAAAAAGCCGATGCCGAGCGATTCCAGCCATGCCAACATCCTCATCAAGCGCTGGAGCGAGATCCTGAAGCAGTACGTGTCGGTGAAGCGGAATTTGGTCCAGGTGTAGCTGATATTTTTGTGTTATACGTTGCCCTTCAGCTAATTCAAATCACCATCAACATTGGGTACCTGGAAAAGGGATGCGAGAGCCTCGGGAGTTTCATCACGAAGTTAGCTAGTGGTGGGGATTCTGCGATGACAGCCGGGTATCAGGTAGATTTAAATGGACTGATAATCCCTAAAAATGACCAGCTTGAAGGTTCCATGTCCCTTTAAGGTGCCCCTCTTCGAAGGAGACTTCCGAGATGCCCGTTCGGAAGTGGAGCAGAGTATTGAAATCAGTTTGGCGCGAAAAGTGGACGATTTATTGGAGCCGGGTGAGTCGGAAGTAATGATAAAAACAAATGTTTTACAGCTTGTTACGACTGGGAATTGCCCTCATCCTCCGGCCACGCTTCCGACTTCATCCAGTCCACTATCGCCTTCCTGTCGACCACCTTCATCTCGTTTTCCGAGATTCCAGGAGCCCTGGCACGACATGTCTGCACACAGGTAATTTTAGGAATGCAAAAATCAACAATTTGGTTTTTCAGACTTGTAAACACATAGCACAACGACTTTCCGGGATGCTACTATCCCCTGACGTTAAGGCGCTGAGTCCAGGTATATTCTACGCCACTTACAACCTTATTCAACGCTTTTTCAGGCGCCCTCGAACAGTTCTCCCTCGACGTCATGCAATGTGAACTGTTTGCCGCTACGCAGAATAACATTTCCGGGCTTGACAGTACCACCTTGCCCCTGACTTTTGCTCATTTACGGTAAGGGCCTTTCTCAAATTTTGAAAGGAGGTTTAGACAACTTCTCGAGCTCGTCACCCAATCCGATTGGACGACGTACATTGCTGAAATCGGCAAAAGTGACGCGAAATATAATCGGGTTCAACCTTCAGCTGCGGTGCTGATTATGGAAAAGTACGAATTTGTTCTTTGTTTAGCCGTTTTTTGAACTTTAGGCGGTTTAAAATGTTTTTTTTTAGAATGATTGAGTTCGAGAAGAAGAGCGCTGGATTTTTCGCCGTTAACAAGGGAGACAGAAGAAAGCTCTACGACACAATCCTAAAACAATTGCGGGCTATCGCTTCCGGTCAATGAAAAACGCTGTGATTTTATGTATTGACCAGGGTTGAAAAGCCGCTTCGCGACTTTTCAACCCTGGCCCCCCGTCTTCTCCAATGATATTCTTGGCTTTGCATAATTTGCGCGGATTCGGATGACGAAAAATAAAAAATGCTCTCGCCGTCCCTTTATATAGGCCACCGCGACTTCCGGTGCATGCTAATTTGATCCTAACAAATTGGGGTGTCCGATTTTCCATGAAAAACTTAATTTTAATGTCGAAAACCTCATATTTTCTAAAATCTAATTGGTGTGCAGTCATCTCGAGCCCATTACGCATCTAATGACGTATCGAACATAGCCCTAAGTACTTCCCTTCTTGAGATACTACTGGAACACGGTGACGGAAGTTGCATGCAAATGCACACACACACACACACAAACACTATTTTTTTATATATAGTAGGATTATCTATAATAGATGATAAATATGAGCTTCTGCTATTTAAAACATCTTGAAATTGCCGAGGAATTTGCATAGGGATAGAACTAGAAACACTACAACACACAGTTGAAATTAGAGTGAGGGAGGCCTAGGCTAAAGCCTAGGCATGCCTAGGCTTCCTCAGGCTTTTCTAATTTGCATCGCCTAGGCTGAGCCTGGGCTATGCAAATTACGCCTGACCTCTAATTAGTCAGGCTTTATCTGGGAATTTTATGTAAAGTCGTAGAATATTCGAAGTTTTGCCGAACAAATAAGGATTTTTTTAAACTTCCGGGGGGGTCGAAGAGCTGTATTGGGTCCAAGAATATTCTACAAAGTTAGGTTACTGTTTTTTGACAAACGATACGTTAATAGCACGCGGATACACAAAAGTCAAGAGTCGGTTCGAACGGGCGGGGGATGCAATTGGCTCTCCTGACATCCTGCCTATATTTTTCGCACCTGCGGCATCCTTGTAATTTGTTATTTCGTCAAAGATACGAACGTTTTAGATGCAGTAACCAGATTAACATGTTTTTGCGCATTGCATAAAAAGCCTGCGTAAATCCTTAGGCTTCCGCCAGGCGTCGGCAGGCGCGGAAATGCAATTCGGCCCAAGAAAGCCTGAGGAGGCCTGCCGCTCCCTCACTCTAGTTGAAATCAACGGCCATTAAACCCAAATTGAACCGATACTAGAACATTTTTTGTCTCAAACTCCATTCAATCATGATTTTTATGATCTTGCCATGTGGGTCGGGGCAATTATCAAACCCATCCATAACCTCTCCCCGCATATCATTCACACAAATCACAACTCACCAACCCGTTTTCACCCCAAATTTTGTACTTTTTTGACCGGTCACGGAATCTCGTTGGTTATGCAAATCACTTGCACGCGTGGTTTGCCCTAGTTTTTGAGCCGTCCTGAAGCATGACCGCTTGCAATTTATGCAAAGCCGTGGAGTGTAGCGTGGAATTCGCTAGCCTGAAGTATGGGGACCTAGCAGGAGTTACTAGAGAAATTCGCAATTTCTTACCTACAACAAAATTTCCGCATAAAGTGATGTTAAAAATCTGTATCCAATCCAAATAGCCAATGGTTCTTGACTAGGGAAAGCTTATATACACGCCTAAACGCTGCAAAACTACCGTACCCCCGCGAAAACAATTATGTGATTGGAGCAAAAAAAAATTGTTCCGGGAAAACAAACCCAGACATCCTAACATTGCCCAATCAAAGTCAGACTGTGCGATTTTGTGCGGTCGCGCGCAAAATTGCACAACTTTCCGGGGGGAAACGACCCCTACGAGAGAAACCGATCACCATAATCCGTCAACGGCCATATAAAGAGACTCGGGCGATGTGACAAGAATTTATTTTTCAACCGTCGATCCGAGCCCGGGTTGGAAACGGTGTTTGATTTTGAGATCACTACCTGATAGTCATTGAAAATGGTCGCCAACGACACGAAGGAGGTCAAGGAGGGCTCGATTGCTGGGAGCTTGATTACATGGCAAATGCTGGAGGTAAGGTATTGTAAAAATCAACGATAAATTTTTAGAAGAATTCAGAGAATTTTTGAAGTTTTGGATTTTTAGCAAGACATGCAAAAAGCATTCGGGACCACTGCAATAACCGGCCCGAAGCGTGATGGAAATATGATGGCTGATGGAAATGTAAGGACTTTTATCACGGTTTTATCAGGATTGATAGATACCTCATCAACCTCAACTACAACTTTTTGCTACGCTTAATTCATTCTTTTTTGGGCATTATGATATATTACAAATTTTTAGGGTTTCCTTTCCAACATCGCTCTCGTCAAATTCGACTGGACCCACGATACGGATATCCTACCCGAGCGTGCCGTTTTGAAGGTAGATTAACAGCTGATATATTTTTGCAGTGGTTCTTACAGTCTGTAATATCAAAACAGCGAGCGTTTAGATCACCGCCTGCGAGAAGCTCTACGACATGGCCCAGGACCTACCCAACTTCAAGCCCGACGAAGTCTGGGGAAATTGCAAGGCTGTGAGTTTTTGGCTACCCGAACCTCTGGGGGTTTACTGGGTTACTGTAGATATGATATTCTCAACACATTTTTAGCTGAATTTTTTTTATTCTATAGGTCAACGACAACGAGCTGAGCTTCTACCAAAATTGCGAGAAAGTGTGGAAGCTGCCCAAGGAGCTCATGGTGGCCAAGTTCTATTGTGGGCGCGAGTTTGGACTTGATGGCGTTGATGCCGGTAATTTTAATGCAATAGCTCTACCTACGTTTTCTCAGGATACTTCGCTATTGAGTTCTTCGACAAAGCCGAAAGTCGCCATTTCTACAATAACGTGCAGGAGTCGTCGGTGAAGGAGATTTTGGATCAATTGGTGCTGATCAACACGCACTGTAAGTCTCTTCCAAGTACAGGGTGGACCAAAAAAAAAGTGAAGTTTGCACTGAAATATCTCGCGAACGGAAACGAATCGGACCATCGTTACCTTGCAGACTGCTTAAATATGCTGGGCATGAAGAAATAACACAAGTTGTTTTTTAAGATTTTTGACGACCAGTGGGTCGTTAAAAAGTTTTGAACATTTTAAAAAAAGTAGAAAACTTTGAAGCGATAAAGTATGGAGCTTTTTATGAGTTAGGGAGATTTCAAGGTTTCAAAATGAAGCTCTTGGAATGCGCTATCAAACGCGTGGTAAAGAATTTCGATCGGTTTAACTAGCCGTCAATAGGAGCGTTCGGAAAATCCGTACTTTTCCAGAATGGACGCCTCCGGATTGACCATAAAAAGCACCTTGCTGCCCAAATTTTTTGTACTTGTTAAATGCAATCCTGTTTGCCAAAAATAACCATGCTATAATTTTAACTAAAGGAGCCTAGAACTTACAGATTCCGTCGAATTGGCAAAGTGCCAAAAATTTTTTGATCGCGATTTTAAAATTTTTGATGCCAAAAGTTAGTAGTTATATATCTATTGCTAATTGCAAAATATCAGAAAGATCGGATGGTAAAGTAACTTTATTTGGAATTATTTCCCCAAAAAGTACGGATTTTCCGAACGCTCCTATTGACGGCTAGTTAAACCGATCGAAATTCTTTACCACGCGTTTGATAGCGCATTCCAAGAGCTTCATTTTGATACCCTTGAAATCTCTCTAACTCATAAAAAGTTCCATACTTTATCGCTTCTAAGTTTTCTACTTTTTTAAAATGTTCAAAACTTTTTAACGACCCGCTGGTCGTCAAAAATCTTAAAAAACAACTTGTGTTATTTCTTCATGCCCAGCATATTTAAGCATTCTGGCAAGGTAACGATGGTCCGATTCGTTTCCGTTCGCGAGATATTTCAGTGCAAACTTCACTTTTTTTCTTGGACCACCCTAGTTTTTTGCTATTTCAAGGGAAAAGTTAATTTGCTACAGCTATAAACGGCAACTTTCCAGCGCTAAAACGCCCAGAACTCTTCGAAAACTACACCAACGAGCACTACATCAATATGATGTCTTCATTCTGCACTGAAGAAGTACGGTATCCCGGCTTTCAACGTTTTATTTTGTAGTCTGTAACCAAATCAATCGAAGAATGCTTGGAGAAACACCCGGACCTTGAGCAGGAGCTCTTGGCGATGCAGAAGATGGCCAAATATTTTGAGACTTTCACCAATTTTGATGCAAAAATGGCCGAGAGCTGTAAGTTTAGCCAGCCGTATACTTAATTCCATTACAATACTATTTTCGAGAGCGGCTTTTAGGCAACAACATGCGCATGTTCTGCCACGGTGACATGTGGCTGGGGAATATGTTGTGGCAAAAAGATGCCAAGGGAGATTACCGTATGAAGCGGCTTATCGATTGGCAGGTAGCTTTTCAAAGCTTTTTAGAAGCTATTTAGGGTTCTAAAATTCATGGCCTGGAAAGAAAATAGATTATTTTAGCTACACCGTTGGGGAACCCCGATGGAAGACCTGGCTCGACTGCTAACAAGCGCTTTTTCGGCTGATGAATATCAAAACCGGTTAGACTGCCTAACTCGCTTCAAGTACCATTTTTAGCAAACAAATATACCTTCAATACTACTATGACGCGTTTTATAAAGCAGATGAACGGCGGCCCCATGCCCTGGAAATCCTATCAAGACGTTTGTTCGATTTTTCTGAGCCCATTTTTTCCCTTAAGTTTGAGGAAAACTATGAAAGAGGTTTCGCTCTGTGCTCGACCGCCTTCGGACCCGTTTTCTTGTGCATGACGCATAAGATTTTGGACACGATTAAGGATGGTATGGGCTTGGAAACATAGTCCTACATTTGATTTTGTGAAATCCCAAAACCACGATGGGTTTTCAGAGAAAGACAAAATCGACGGGCCTCAGAATTACAAGGACAAGGTGTACAATATGGTCAGGGAGGCGGCGAGATTAGCAAAGAAGTGGAATATGTAAATTATGTTAAAAATGGTATCATTGAATAAAGAACTACGCCTTAAGCCTATCTTATTACTCTGCCAGGTTCCTTTAGCAGGGTTTTATTCGAAACTTTTTAAAGTTTTTGCGTTTCCAAGTATTTTTCGTGGGATCTAATTCTTAAAATATAAACAGTGGAATTTTTCTAAACATTTTTTACTATGCCTAAAGATAAAACTGTAGACAAAAATGGCCGGTTTTTCAGGAAGATGTCGACTTTTTTTATAAATGTTCAGATTGTTTTTTTAGTTGAAATATAGTTATATCTATCTGAGGCTAAAAAGCGTCTTTTTAAAAAAGAGGTTCTGATTTTCGCCAAAAGAGACGAATTCGAACGGAATTACGAACGGATTTGCAGCCTCTGTAAGGCTCTCTCTGCCCTTCTGTCTGTGCCCTCCAAAAGAACCCCCGCTGCCTCGCCATCCCCCGTTCCATCAGCTGACACCCCGAGCACTTGGCCTTTTTTGGCCTCCACCCCCGGAGCTCCGACTCTTTTTCCCCTTCCACTGGCCGGCCCGAGAAGCTTCAGATAGGCTCCGTCACATGCCCCGGCAATGCCGAGACCTCGGCCTCATGTGACTAGCGACTCGTTTCCTTTTACCGATCTGTAAATTGCTGGCATTCTTTGTCCCGTTTTGGGCTGGGAAATGATCTCTAGGCAAGCGAGATCACGGCTCAAAATTAAGTATTGGGAGATATGCTGGTGTTATGGCCCTTATTTGGGATGGGAATTTCGCGACTAAAAGTGTAATAGGCTGGTCTGTACTGCTTATAATTAAACCCGGGCCACCGTGGGGCTGACAAAAGACTGTCAACAACGGACTATCGATAGTGGTTCGGCTTTGAAAAGGTAAAAATTACATCAGTTCTTCCCTTTATTACGTCAGATTGACTCCGTTGTTTATCTAGCGACGCGGCTCCGGCTTTAGTATGCAAAGCCGACTCCAGTTGCTGTTTGGCCAGGTGTTCGCAACGATTTTTCTACTCCCATGCTCAATTTTTGAGCAAAAACGTTGTAATTGCTGGTTTCGGCATTCTAATAAATCCCAAATCGTTGTCAGTCGCCACTCGCAACAAAAGGTCTCCAAAAAATTCATTAGCCCTCACGGTTTTTGGGCGAAATTGGACTAGCCATGGCGGTTTCTTTCAGGGGGACTAATCCCTTTTGGTCCGTTCGTCAAATTAAATTTGGACCAGGGAAATGCTTCTTTTTCGAGAAGTACTTCTTATTTAGAAACTCTGACCCTTCTATATGATGGAGCTAAAAGCTTGAGTTGGCCCTCTCGGGGCCTTGTAGTCAACGAATGACACATAATCCGCGCTGTCTTGCATCAGTTTTTCAACCAAGGTTCTCAGAACTTTTATGTTCACATATCGATCACTACCCCAGGGCCCAACATCCCCAAAATGACCCGAATTGATTAGGTCCCTGCTGGGAAAGCCGATCGTGTGACCAGCGGGGGAAGGCTCTAGAGCCGGGGAATGGCCTTGAGATGGGGCACACACACGTGGTCAGCGCCCTCTTGCTCTCCATCACTGAACCTCCGCCCTCTTGCTCTTTTCCGCCTCTCGTCCTCCCTCTCTGCTCCCCTCATCGGTTAGGTGTTCTTTCGAGACCCCTGCTGACCCCTAACCGACCGTCCACACTATTTCCCAACTGCGGTGCTTTATGGCGACCGGGGCGGGGTGAAGCCCCTGTTCAAATGTGGGGCAACACCCCTGCACCGCATTTAGCTTATGGCCTGCGTATTTTAGGGAATTTCCGATGTTCCACATGCATTCACAGATTCGGGGATAAGCCGTCGTTGATGTCACCCTTTTTGCAGAGATTTCGCTCTCGGAATATTAATTCCACGTTTCGACATGTCGTCTCGCGAAATGCCGCATTATTTTTGGAAAGACATGTTGTAGCTTCTAGGTTGTCGAAGCAACCATTGAATCCCACAATCAACTAAAAGGATTTCCGGTTCTTTCGCATTATCCGGGGGGGGAGTTTCTCAGTGAGAACAATTTTTTTGTATTAATCTAGATATGCTAGCGACTGAATAGGAGAAGTCTTAATAGCATTTTTAATAAAGCAAAACTATGATTTACTAGAACAACTTTCTAATTTACGTATTAGTTTCCTAAATTAGTTTTTACGCTTAGGAATATTTTTTTATTCCGATTAAATTAAAATTTCACAAAATTTACATCTTTATTTATTTTTTAGAAAAAAGAAAAAAGAAACTTGAACTTGCTCCCCGATCATGCAAAAGAACCGGACTTCATCATATTTCAAAGATCAACCGGAAACAAAATGTTTTTCTGATCGGGAAACAACGGAGCTTTGCTGCCAAAAGTCACCGACTTCCAATTCAAGTCGCTTCTTTCTAACGCGCATATTTTTTCCCACTCTCCGAATCTGCCCTTTGCTGGACGACCACTTTTCAAACATCGCACTTCACTGAATCCCGAGCGCCTCTCGCTTTTCTACGTTCTGGATGTTTCCAAAACTGACCGCGAACGCCTTATCGGGCCGTCAGCACCTGGCGGTCGATCTGACATGTTGGGCCCCCCTAATTGACAGCTGTTTGTCCGCCTCTTTGCTCTTTCTATGGCGCTGATAAGAACGATTCGATCCTAGCAAGGCCTGAAAACACGGGCAAACAATTTTTGCCGAAAAACCAAAAACAATTATTGCCATTATGAAAATCCGTAAATTATAGCGTAAGGAAATAAGCCAGAAATGAAACCTGATAATAATAATATCAATGTTTCTATTAAAAAGGCGTGCATTATTTGAAGTTTCTTTAAACTTTCAATCTTTTTGAGAAACGTGAGATGTTTTATTTCCAGTGATTTTCATGGCGAAAACAGTACGCTACGCTACTTTACGCTACTGTACAAGTGGAAAGTCATGTAGCTTTTGTAATCCGGGAAAATCGCCTGGAGAATTTCAAAATTTTCTAAATTTTAAAAGTGGTATTACTGTTTTTACTCGCGGTTTAGAATATGTTCGCTAGTCTTTTGTACGCTTTTCAGTCTTTGTAGCTATTCTCCACCAGATTTTCTGGTTCCGCGTTCGGACCGAAGCCTTTTCCCGGACTTTCATCATCAGTCCCTTTTGCTCATATTCCCCGCCGGTATTCGAATGAGGGCCCTGCCATCGTACGATTCATTCGCCGCGTGTCGGCTGGCCGATGTACAAAAGCGCGTGACCGCCGGCTGCCACAACTGTGGCGAAATGTTCCTTCTTCGCGACAGATTGCCTGCCATTTGGCTCGCTTTGCCCGGCTGAAACTGCGGTTTTCGCATTAGTTACTTTTCATAATTGTTTCTAAGCCGTTGTGAGTTTTTTCTCTCATCTAGTTTTCTGGGTTTGCGGCAAAACTTTTATCACGAGCCTCTTTGGTCAACTAACGATGAAAAGTCGTGGGGATTATAGTGAAACGGCAGTTTGAAGCGAAAGTTTATCTGTGTCTATTTTCGTGTGCTTTACTGATCAATGAGCTTTCCGGTTTGTTGTTTTCTATTATAGTTTGTTCCTATAACTGGTATTTGTTTATTCGTCTTTGATTCTGCCTCGGGGACCATAATTAGGGCACCAGTGCGCTACGGCGAACCTCCAATGAGCGATCATTAGCCCCAGCGTCTTGGGCGCTGTCTAGAAAATGCTAGAAAACGTGACATAGCCTAGCCGGGGCTGCCTCCCCCACGTGACACTCATTACATCACGCTTTTCGACTATAAATGAGCCACCTACTTGCTTTCTCATATCTCTTTCATATCGCTGTGGCTGCTCGGATCATCACACTTTTTTCAGGGTATCTTCGAACCGCCACCCCGCAACTTCTCCCCAAAATGGTCTATGAGCGTAACGCCGTCCACCTGGCTGAGGACCCCGAGGCCCTGGCCGAGCGCGAATGGAATCAGAAGAACGGGATCAAGGACGAGAAGGTGATTTTTTTTGCTTAACTAAAGAGCGCGAGAGTGTTTTTAGGTTTTGTCTTTTTCGTAGGTGCCAAGCGCAAAGAACATTACCTGATCACTCAATTGCTATATTGCCAAGCGCCGGTATCTCTAGAGCGGTTTATTTGCTTGCCAAACCGCGCTCGCATTTATTTGCCGACCCTTGGCCAAAGCAATGAATGTGCTGCTTCAACAGTTCCGCCGGTTTTTCAAAAGAAGAGAATCACGAAAAACCAACTTTTTCAGTACAAAAAGGCGCTGTCGGAGGCTGACTTGTCGAAAGCTGGCGTGCCCGTGGCGACCGTTTCCCCTGCCTCTTCGGATAGCGGAAATGGTAAGGATTTTGTATTTTTTTTCAGGTTGGCCTAAAAATAGCGCCCGTTATAACGCGCGTAATCACTTCCTCGCCCCGTAATCCCGGGTTCCGCTCGCTGTGTTGCAAAGAATAATGGCTGTGCCGATGGGCAGACAGGGCGCCGCTGGTCACGCGGTGCGCCTCGTGCCAGCCACCGGCATCGCTGTAATCTGTTTCGGCCGTTTCACGCAAATTTGACCACTCGAAGGGTGAAGAGGGAAACTGGGCCTTTTCATGCCCCCTGACACCGTATGGAAATTAGGGTGGCGCGAGGGGGATGACATGAAAAATTGTCCAATGGCGATAGGCCTGTAATCCAGTAGAATTTATGCTCCCCGGGGAACGACAACAAAAATTTTACAGCTTTTTGCATGATCAAAGCCATTATACACTTATCCGTAGACCGTTTAGTGAGCTCGGCCTCTTCCCTGAAGAAGACCAACTCGTTCAAGGAGGCCAAGGCCGACCGGAAGAAGCGCAGCCGGGGCATCAGCGGCAGCACCAGCAAGAAAGATGGTATTTTTACCTCGATCAGCTGAATACTTGATTCTAGGAGGCCGATTCGAGCACGGGTTTGACAGCTACGACGACGACGACTTGTTCTCGGAGGACGAGCTGGAGGACCTGAAAAATATGAAGTTGAAGGACTACTCTAGCTGCGAGGATGAGCCGGCGTCGGATGTCGAGCGTGACGTTAGTTGGAGGTTCTTTCCTTAATTTATCTTTTTGTTAGATCGCCGCTCTGACGCGAGAATTCCACGACATCATTGCCAGTGGCGAGCCGGGTTCCGTCGACGTGGCCGTCAAGCTGTTTGTGGACCAGGAAATGGACCTGCACATTTTACATTGTGCGGTGTGCGAGCTTGTTGAGGTATAGATTTGTCTTTCTGACGTTTTTGGATTATTCCTCCTGGCGGTTTTTTATTTTAGTGATTTTCTATTTACAGGAAGACATCAAAGAAACCCCGCTACTAGCGACAATCGCCAAGAATTCCTCGGCCGAGTACCACATCTCGGTGATGCTGGCCGTGTTCCTGTCCCGCCTCTACCCGGACGCTAAGGCCAACGTGAAGGACCATCGCCGGCAGCTCGTCAAGAAAGAACTGATCCGCGGCAACACATCCGCCTTTGTCAACATGCTATTTGAGGTGGTTCTTAAAATCTGGTCCAAAATTCCAATTTTAGAACGCCCTCGACTTCATCGAGTACGAGACCGACGAGCTGCAGGGCACCACGCAGGGTTGCCCGGATGAGGCGGTCGACGCCATCGTCTCGGCAATGACGGGCGATTGGTTCGACCGCGACTTCTACTTTGAACAGTGCAAGCCGCTCGAGCAATTCCATGTTGAGGTCATCAAAAAGGTAAGACCATTTTTTGTATATTTTTACGAATTTATTTTTAAGGCAATCGTGGCGGCAATCGAGTCCATGGAGATGTCGGTGATCCATCGCGTCGAGAAGTCGATTTTGGCGTTTGCCAGCTTTGCTGGGGTGCGTCTTGAGTAGCATTTTGAAAATTTCTGGTTTTAGGAGTCGTTCGACTGCACCTATCGCCTTGCTCTCGCGCGCATCGTGGCGAACAGCGGGGAGCTGGGCGGGACGCCCGCTTGGCCGAACGTGCTGCGCGTCATCGTGGCCGGCATCACGGAGAGCGAGCAGCTCTGGGCCTACTACTCTGGCCCGGGCCGCAACTGGAAACTGATTCCAAAGTATGTTTTTGGTTCTTTAGCATTATCGGGGGGGGGCAAAAATCCAGGTTTTTGGAATCCAATGTTTTTGAAGGTAATTAGCGAAAAGTAATAACTTTACAATTTTTTTGAAAATACAAAAGTCGTGAGTTCGACGAAAAATTGCCATTTTTTGACCAAAATTTCGGCTTTGAAATGTTTTGAAGGTTTTAGATAGTTTTTATTTTACCAATTTTTTTCTTCAGGTCGACGTGCACCATCGCCCTCGAGCCCAACGACGACCACCTGAAGGTGCTCGACGAAGTGCCGAAGAACAACATCCAGCTGATCAAGCAGCTGTAGAGCAGCAACTAGCAGCTAGACCCTAGAGATTCTAGGTTGAGGCTAGCCCCATGGCGTAGCCGCCTTATTTCTCCCCCATGTATTTATTCTCCCATCCCCTAAACTTTTGCTGATCACTTTTTCCAAATTCCCTCGCTTACCCCCCGTTTTTTTTAAAGTTTGACGAGTCCTTGTATTTTGTAAGTAGTCCCCTTTTCATTTGCCGATTCAAAACTCGTGCTCCCGCTATTTTCTCGTAATTTTTTCGATCTCCTCAACTCCCTCGTTGTTCCCCCCGGGGATGACCAGGTACGGGCCCGGGTCGGCGTTTGGTTTTGATTCCTCTATATCTTTTTCGAAACCGGAAGGCAATGCTGGAAGCTGTTTAGACCTGTAGTCACTTTTCCCTCCCTTAGAATTACCCGCTTGGCCCTTCGGCTGAAAGCACCTGAAAAATTCTACAGGCATTCGGAACCCGGTCAGTGCTTTCCCTTTAAACTGCTCCGAAACCTCACGCCACCCACATGACACGATGCCTTACGCAATGTATCTGGTGTATATAATGTGCATACAAATTGCCTTTTGTGATCCTCAGCCCTGTTATTCTATAGTCAGCAGCCCGCCTACGACGCCTATCGACCTCGTAAGAGTTCGCCTGGCCCTTCACCCGTTACCCGAAACTTGTTACGCTTTTTGTAGTTGAGCTCCTCTATGTAAGTAACCCGCGCTGCGGATCGCCCCAGCTTTTATTCGGTTTCCCTCCATTTGCCAACACGGGAAATAAATTGTTAACCATAAACATGCTGAAGCTATGGGAGAAAGAATAGCAGTAGACGGGCCTCATGTAAAGCTTTAACTGTAAGCCAAGACTAGGTTAAGAACTTTATGTCAGTAGCAAAGTACAGTTCGCCTATTTACAACGTTTTATCATGTGCTTCTCTGCAATTCCAATATTTCCAAGCGCACGAGACCAGCGCATTCCAAGTAGCAAGACGTACAATTAAACAGTTTTAAGTATTTATGTTTTCTTTCTTTATTCATGGAGCATTATGGCGGTTTTGACAACAGACAGCTATCGAAGTGGTGATGAGCCCGGAGAGCACCTGAAAAAACTCGATAAATTTACGACCGATTTACGAATTTACGACTGTTAAAATGGCCGTCGAAAAACTTTTTGCACCCTAACTGTCGTGTGGATTAATATAGAAACTCAAAATAGAAGCTTCCAAAAAACTGCCATTCGGCTGACCCGTGATTAAAAAATCGAATAAAATCGATCCAACCACTAGCCATCAAAATACTCCCAAAATCGCGACCTACCTTCAAAGCGGCCCCTAAATGGAGAGCAACCAGAACGTAGCAGAGCCTAAATTTATTTATTCCAAAGCTAGGCGAAGCGAAAATGAAAGTTCAATTGCTCAAAGGAAAATCAAGAAACGGCGAAATCGGATAGGATAAACCAAATTCGATGGCATAATGTATAAATGTATAAGTGATAAGCTAAGACCGGGATATCACAGTTTTACATAGAAATGTAGCAATTTTTCACGGAAATCGCTGCTTCAAGCCGAAATTCAGCCACGTGCTACGTCGGCGCCTATGTACGCAAAGAAAATTCGGCCATGAGTGAGGCGTAGGCGCCAATAGGCGCCAATGTAGCACGCGCCTGAGCTTGCGCTCCAAGGTTCGTAGCATCACGACGGTTCTTGGGGCACTTCGTTATCCTTTGACGTTCCGGGTTTGAGTACTTGGTGTTTAGCTTCCAATTCTTCCGTCCAATCGACCAGTTTGTCACTGAAAGAGCGTATTAGAGGAATATAATTCTCGCATCGCCGCTCAAAGTTAGTGGCCATCTCCCCAATGTCGGCTGCTATCTGTTGACCGTCACCATATTTTGGTCGCCCGCTGACCAGTTTTCGATGGCTGG